GTTGGTCCACCCTGGTCTGCAGTTCCTTCACTGATGAACCATCCCTGCTCTCCGGCGACTGCAACGTGGCAAGTGGTTCCTGGGGCAGCTCCCGGGCCAGACGCACCAGCTCCTCCACACGCAACTGGCCAGTTGCTCGTGCCAACCGCAACTGGGCACCAAGCGCGGGCTGTAAACCTTCGACGAACTGCTCCGACAGCAACTGGTGTCTCGACATTCCGTCCAGCGTCGGTAAATTGTGATCCAACAACTGTTGCAGGCCGGCGAAGAATACGGTCGGGTCAGATCTGGGTGCCATCCTGGCCGTCTTGAACCGCCTCATAGCCTCCTGGCGGTCAGCCGGCGTGTCGAACTCCGCTGCAAGACTTCCTTCGCGGCGGCCAAGCCCATCTTCTGAGGGCCTCTTCTGGCCGCATCCAGGACCGCCTTCGCCCGGCTCTTGAGGAGGTTCTTCAGCGCTGCCAAATTACCCTGGTCGGTCTCCAGCCCGGCCACCTCCGCAACCTCTTCAAAGTCCTCCAGGAAGATCCGAATAGCTCCATCCTCAAAGGGTTGCGGCCACGGGATCTCCATCCTTATCCTGGTCACGGCACCAAATGAGAGGAAGAAGGCCTTCGCTGTGGAGTTATTTATTCGGAAATGCCAACTGACTGGTTACAGACCATTGAACAGGGAAGCAAAACTCTAATCTGCATCTAAGTTACAAAAACTGGACACCGATCTTCTCCCGAACGAGTCTTCTTGAACTTTTCTGGAGATTCATTGGCTCCACTCATTCATCGGTCAAATCCAGGCAAATGTTACAAAGTGGCTCCACGAATTCCGCAACACATTTCCATTTTTCAATAGACGCAAAGCGAAAACGCAAACGAACAACACATACTCCTCTCGTGCCCCCTCATCAGTAGCATCACCGTTACACTAATTGTGGAACTTCACATACGCCGGCTTTCTTGCCTGGCCTGGCGGTATTTGCGCACGAGTTACCAAGTGAGCCTCACATACCAACCATCCAACTCTCCCGACCCATTTGTCTGTGCAGGCTTCCTCTACCTTATAGGTGCTGTGCGTTCTACAAACGACAAGATGCCTCTTGAAAATGGAAAACTGTCCTTTTTCAGAGGGAAAAATTTAAACTTCCAATTGGGATAATCGGGTACACACTGGCATTTCTCCCAAAAGATATGTAGGATGCGGCCACAAGGGATATAATGGCCTAGACGAAAGTCAAAAACGGACTTTCCTGGTTGTTTTTCTGTTCACTGAGATTGGAGTTGGATTGCAAACGCTTCACTACCAATAAAAGTGACATCGGCACTGCGGAATCGAGTTGGTAAGTTCCCTCTTCTCTACCTCCGCTAATATAGTCTCTGAACAACACCTCAAGCAATTGGTTTGTACCGAGGTGGTCTTCACGTGGTTTGATTCATCACCTGGGAATCCGGGTTCCGTTGTGGTCTTACTCATTTGTATCTGGTCGTTTCATCGAACCCAATCAACTTGACCGTTCCGAACCTTCCTTGTGATTTAGCCGCTTTAATTCTGTTAGAAACCCTTTAATACCACAGGAAAGATTGGATGTGATAGAGAAGACCAACGTGATCGGCGAACTGCAGTTTAAGGACTGAGTGAAACACCATGTTGGTCAGATTGGATGAAAAATTGCCACCAGAATACACAAACGCGAGCGTGTCAGCAGATGATATGACCTAATGTCACTTATTTTAGTCTACGGGTAGATCAACTTATTTGGCACAGTGTTCAAGTTCTTGCTCACGCAGGGATAAAACGGGAGCGAAAGTTTGCCGAGCGTGGTATTCCGCGGAAAAATCTATCGATGAACATAGCGGCATCTGCCCAGCCTATCAACCCTATCAACTACACATTAACGAAGTATAAAACGAAACTTCTGGAACAACTCTCACTGCACCGATAAACGGCTTTCATTGGAAATACCGGGGCAGGAAGCGGGCAAGAGCACCTCAGTGGTGCCTGTGAAGCCCTGAAATCAAGTCCTGTCTAAGATAATTGAAGCTGCTATGCTCTCTGGCAGCAAAACGGCTCCGTCTCCAACGTTTCCATGGTGAAGAACGAACAATAGGGTGCTTGTCCATACAACGCCTCCAGTCCGCTATCCAGCAGTCAGCTAGCCCCAATGGACCATCCGAATTTGCAGTTATAATACACGGCCTACAATAGACGACTCGAATTCTGAGATTATTACAAGCGATTCATCCATTTCCCCTGCGAGCTCCGAGCGCCATATGATGTGGACTTGCTTTGTTCTTAGACGCGCCATGCCAACCGAGAATCTCTACCCTGCGGCATCGTCTTTTGCTTCGCCTCATCTGAAGACTCCCTGTTGGTCATATATACGCTCCATACTCCTCCGGCAACCATTTTTCACAGCTTTTGCAGGCAGGTGAAACTTAATGCCCCCAGGTTTTATGGATGAAATTCCAGCGCGTTGGGACCAGTGGACACTTTGTATCACTGCTGACTATTCTCGCTTTCTCAGAATGCTTTCTCGAAAATGCGCATCTTACTCGTCAGACTAAACCGAGACTAGCCCCGCTGAAAGAGGCACACAGGTTAATGGCCCGGAGAGCTTACGGGATAAATGCGGTGTTCCCCTCAATGAAGTCAGTAAGCAGTCGAACGGGACGAAAACTACCGAAAATAAATCACCTCTGTTTGGGACTGAGGTATCAACTTTCCTTCAAAAAAACACTACGGTAAACTTGGAAGATAAGCTAACATTTAGTAGGCTGCAGAGCGACCGTATTTCAGGAATAGACCAATGAAACATAAAATATATCACAATGGTAGACGTTGTCCGAAAAACCAAAAATATGGAAATTAATCAAGTTGAAAGCCACCGCAAATAAAAGTCAACTGCTTTTTGTTCGGTTAAAAGAAACGGGGAAGTCGCGAATGACAAAAATTGGCATCTGAAGTCTACAGAACGAACTGTTCAGGCCCCCATTCTATGCCAGCTACCTCACCACATCAAATGTGCGCAGACCTCACCTACGGTCAGACTTTGACCGAATTTAACTTTAAGGAATAAAATGTTTGTCAACTCTTTCCAAAAGCAAACAAGTTCTGCGAATTAGGGCTTTGGATGAGGTCAATAGAAAGATTCTGAAGGACACGTTACTCACATTGGCAAAGCATTTATATCGTGCGTTTTGTCAGTCACCCGAAGTAAGTGACCTTTCTGTTCGGAAGGAAGCGATTGTCACGCATATCTGCAAATCTCGTGACAACCCGTCACCCAGCAGCTCTTGACTTAGTTCCGGGCGAAGTGAATCTGCAGCACACCACTTCGGGCCAATTAAATATCATCAACTCGAAATCCCCGACAAAAATCCTGTTCTCCTGAGGCTGTTTTTGTGTGATAAGCATGCACTGCTTAGAACAAGCACATATGATGAACTGCACCCATTTGCAAACTAATTTCGTTTTGCGGGTGACTCACCTGGAAACCAGCTGAATCTCTCCTTTGTGATTGACCCAAAGAAGGGCGAAATTGGTCGTGGGATTTCGACGAATTTCTAGTAAACATCACGAACTCAAAACAACTTTTCGCAAACATTCGGCCAACCCACACATGATCCACTGCCCCGCAGATTCATATTTCGTGAAATCCAAGGAGGAATTCTACACTGGATTAAGGCGTTTTTATCAGACAGAACATTCCGAGTAAAAGGAGGCTCGACCTGCATTCCATCGGCGCCGGTCCCCATTAGAGTTCTTCAAGACTATTTTGAGCCCATTTCTGCTTTCGCTCCACATCAACGAATTTCCAGCCTTCATTTTAGGTGCACGTCTGCTCTTTGCGAACAACCTGAAATTCCGGAGTTAAAATATCAGCACCCTTTAAATAGACGTGTACACTGTAAAACGCTAGTCGTTGGTCTGGCACCTACCTTTACATGGGGTGACGTCTTCCAGAGGAGTTTGAGTGTAAGCCTTTGTTGTGCATGGTGAGAATAAACCATAAGCTTAAGGCCAGAAGGGATTTAGGTATCCGGCTCTATTCAAACATACCCCTATCAACTTTCCATGAA